TGAGTGCTCAAACACTCAGCAGTTCAGAGAGGGGAGGGGGAGTACAGTGACATAACGCTATGCTGCGCCTTCAAAATAAAAGCACGATAGTTAAAAAATTGTCAAAATCTAATATTTTGCGGTACAATTTTTGGGGGGGACATATCCACCTGGCTTTTATATTGGGGGGGACATGTCCCCCCCGTCCCCCCCGCTTCCTACGCCGCTGCATCAAGTGTTTATCCTCCATGGAATAAAACAACTTATATTCTATACAAATTAATACTGCATAGACTTGAAGGCATTATTTAATCATATGTTTACGAATAGGAGACTTTTAAACCTTAGGTGACCTTTAATTATTTAAGCTGTAAAAATCTCAACAGAAAATAGGGATCAGCACAAAAAAACTCACAGAAATACACTGAAAAAAATATATAATGCAAAAATCTTTTGGCATCTACTTAATTTATTTACTGCATTTACTTAATAATATTTAGGTAAATTTTTTTATGCCAACATGAAAAAATTGTGTTACAGTAACTAAATATCAATAGATAACTGCTAACAGTTGCATTACGTTAAGCTGAAAAAAGCTAAAATAGCTGAGTTAGTTGCTTTGTCTAAAATCTTCCATCAACATTGTTTTCATCAGGATGACCTGATGGAGCGTTCAGTAAAAGATCTCAAAACAATCTGTCATTCCAACTATAAACATGAATACTTTTTGTTTGGAAGTATTTAGGTTCTAACGTATTTAAAGTAAAAGTCCAGTCATTTCAGAATTTAAACATCTGAAACTTCTTTAAACATGAAATGATTCCATCCTGTTCAATAAATGATCAGTGTTTTTAATTCAGAGTAATTTTCATGTGAATGTGCTTTACTGGAGGCATCCATGTTTGTCAAAGAACACTACTGCCACCTACTGGTAGTGCGGTATCGGCTGTTGATCAAGTCCCAGTGCTGTATCTGGTGTTTGTCACAACGCGCTATTATCCAAGTCATCTTGAAAACATTCTTCTTCCAAATGTTGGCTACATATTACGGGTTTTTTCTCTGGCCAGAAGTTCGATGGCAAATCCTCCCTCTTCAAGTTGGCGATCCAACGACCAACCCGTCCGTGGAGGATCAGGAATCAGAAAGGTGGAATAACTCTTTTTTTTCACTTTTCCCCGATGTATTCCAGCATCCAGCTGCCATGCACGTGGGCATTGTCAGTTTCACTATAGCTCTGGTGAATTTCAATGGTGAAGTCCTCTGGAAATCTTCAATAATTGTTGTTGATTGCAGATGTGTCTAGTAGTTCCCATTGATTTAGCTTGGAAAGCGGGGAGAATGGCGCTAGGCTTACCGCACCGTGACGTCACTGCTGGAAGATGGCAGGAGGGAGGGGCTACTATATTTGGGCAAAAATGGCCGCTCCCAGACTCAGTGATTGCAACGGAAATTATTGCTTTTATTTTTTTACTTAACCCTAATTAACCAAAAATTCATAAAATTTCTATGTAAATATTAGTTTTAGGTATAATAATAATCGATTGATTATTTCTTGCTGACCGGACTTTTCCTTTAAGTATTGCTGATAGAGTTTGTAGCAAATAATCATTTCCCTCTGGAAGTGCAGCGTACTGTTTATACAGTCACCAAATGAAGCTGTTACTCAAACAGTTACGGAGGCTTTCAGCCTGTCAATATGCATTGGCCAAAGACTGGTTACAGCCGTCCAATGAATCAATCCTTACCTTCAGACTCATGTGCCATCAGGTCAGTAACGAGCAGAGTCTCCACTCCTATAAATCTTTGCTTGTCATTGATACAAACAAATAGCCAGCGAGGCTCAGCTTGAGCAGACTTCAGACACAAAGCGTCAAATATAACAAAGCCATTTCCTCCCTTTATTGAACCCAAACTGACCCTGACTGGATGCAGGAGCTCCGGTTCACAGCTATTAGCCAAGAAGGTACCTGCAGTTTCTGCATTTAAAAAATGTCCTGCTCTTACAGACACAGTCCATTTCAGGTCTCAAGTGGGAAACCATTGATTGAGCCACAAATCTAACAAAAGAAGCTTAGACTGAATAACACCCACTCTCCGAGATCAATCCGGAAACATGACTCAGCGTGATATTGCTCTTTTGGTATAAAAAAAGGGATCTGCTACTCCCCTGGGGCAAGTCAGAGTTTTTTAATCAGCAGCCAACATGTTGCTGCTGCTGCTGGCAGCACTTCCAACTGGAATCAGACCAAGCAGTCTAACATTTAACACCTCAACAGCCGTAGTGGGAATAAAACACCAGAACTCCAAGTCTCCCCTCTCCCACTCACTATCCTTCTTCTTTTCATCCACCCCACCACCCATTTCCCATCTCTGGTCCCTCCATTTATTGCTCTTTTTTTTGCCTTCGCATGCTATGTCTCTGGTGGGTTGACATTTTTGGCCGAGCTCCCAGATAAGAGAGTGGTATGAAAGCAGTGTGGTGGAACAGTTATTATAGGCAGCATGCTCTGATCAGGGAGGTTTGAGATCCCAGTGACAAAGACTCCTCTTATCACACGCAGGACTAATTTGGAACGAGGGGCGCTGAGGCTTTGCATCAGACCCCCCCACCCCCACCCACGCCGTAAGTTCAGGTTTACAGTCAGAAAAGCCTCTGCATATTTATCCTGCTGGTTTGGAGGTGTAGAAACTTGGTAAACTTGAAGGTTTTATAGAGTCACACTTCGTACAGAAACATTTCACAAAATATTTTCATTCCCAAAAACAAACCCCTCAGTCTTCTCCCCATTTTGCAGCTGTTTGGTTTCTGCCCACAGCAGCAAGCTCTCCACATCAGTCCAGTCGAGGCGAGGCGAGCACCCATTTGCACGCAGCTTTGTTTCCTGTCACAATCACTCTGTATTTAACCACAAACATTTTAATGCTTTAGAAATAAATAATTGTGTTTTTTTTTTATTTGTCATTCTTTCTTACTAAACTGCCAGCATCCTGAAAAAGCTTTTTATGGGTTTTAATTTCATCTTCAAGCTTTTTATTAGATCATTTGTCTTTATTTTGCGCCCTTTATAAGCTAAACATTTAAAAAGGCAAAGAAGATTTTCACTGCATTTGACACATCTGCCTACTTTTAAGGCTAGGCTTAAAACTTTCCTTTTTGATAAAGCTTCTAGTTAGAGTGGCTCAGGTTATCCTGAGCTATCTCTATAGTTCTGCTGCTATAGGCTTAGACTGCTGGAGGACATAGGGACCCCTTTTTCATCATTCTGCTTCATTCTATCTCTATTCTCCCACTCTGCAGAATCTGTTAGTTCAATCTCTAACGTTCTGCTCTCTCTGCTTTTTCTCATAGTAGCTTCATCTGGTCTGTTCCTGTTTGGCTGTGACTCCATTCTGGAGAGAAATATCAGCTGTGCTGCTGCCATCAACACCTTTGTTTCTAGATGTTGGAGCTTGGCCTGTTTTCCAGTGTAGTCCTGTTTCTCTGACTGTGACTAACTGGATGTGCTCTCTTCATCCTCTGACATGGGAGCTGCCTTGGAGCTCGTCTGCCTGGCTGTGTGTTTCCTGGACGGGGCCGCCTATTACAGCTGCTTTTTGTATCTCTGCTTCTGTCTCCTTGAACCCCAGTCGGCCTCGGCAGATGGCCGCTCACACTGAGCCTGGTTCTGCTGGAGGTTTCTTCCTGTTAAAAGGGAGTTTTTCCTCTCCACTGTCGCTACAAGCATGCTTAGTCTGAGGGATTGTATTTGAGTCAATGAGTCGATGCAATCAGCTGGTTTTCCTTAGATAGAAAACTTTGTATCAATCTGACTGTATGATCTGGTTGAACTGTAAAGTGCCTTGAGATGACATGTGTTGTGAATTTGGCGCTATATAAATAAACTGAATTGAATTGAAATAGAATTTTGGAATTTTGGTTTTTGTATTCTAAACATTTGTTCTCAGGCTCGGATGTTAAAACCCAACAGAAACTGGTTTTGTTTTAGTGTTTCTCTTCTTTAACATTGTGTAAAATGTCTAATTTCCACTTATTGGAGAAAACAAAAAAACAAAAAAACAGATACTTTATTAATTGAATCTGCCATTTGGGATTAAACATTCAGAAAATTTCTGAAAACCTATTAACTATTGTGAGCTCAAAAGTCAAAAAATCCCTTTATTAGATGTAGATATTAAAATGATTGACTGACGTTAACTCCGAATCAAATTAAATCAATGTGTTTGATAATATATAGAAAATGTAATAACTATAGAACTAAGTCAAATTAAAATTAATTATGCAGTTTAAATCCTTAAATAAATGTAGTAAAGGATCTTTGTTTTTATATCGGGGGATGCTACCTCTGCTTCCTGCCTTTCCTTCCCAGCCTGGCCCTAACATCGTCCCCTTAGGGCATCACTAAGAGCGCCGCATCAATCACTTCACTCCAACCAATCATTGCAGAGCAAATATATTTAGAATCAACTTATCAAACTCACAATAAAAAATCTGTTGCACACAACAAGGTTTGGATTCTGACTTTGAAAAGGATGATTATAAGCATAGATTTATAATTTATGCAAACACTAAGAGGAAGTGGGCGGAGCTCCGTAGTACAGAGGAGCAGATCCCTGAAATCTCTTTTTTCTTCCCAGCTCTATGGCTGCCATCTTCTTTATTGTTTTCATACCTTTCTTGGTTAAGAAGAAAAGAGAGATCATGTGCTGTTAGTGGGATTTTAATAAATACACAGAAATGTGATCAAACTATGGAAACTAATGGAGTATGATGTTTGCTCTGTAAAAATTATTGTGGAGCTTATTGTGGAGCTCCTTTTCATCTAAATTCACAATCGGACACATGTGCAGTTTCAGGTTTTGCAAACATTTATTCCTAACCACCACCAGTTTTGTGCATCTATCCCAGAATGCGTTAATCTGGTCTTCCTTTTTCAGGAATAGAACAGTTTAAAGTTGGAACACAGCTTGACTCCCATGATGCAAATCTGTCAGCGTTACAGATTCATTTTCAGCAAACTTACAGTCATGAAGCCGTCCAGTAGACCAGAGTCAGGTTTTGGTGGAGCCTGTAGTCTCTCCATGGACCATTTCTCTATGATTGACGTGACTTGGCTGTTTTCTGTGTTTAGGATTCTAAATCCCGTCATGTTCACACCACTGTATCGGTAAGGCTCCACATCCAGTGCGAACAGATCCTGGAAAGAAAAAGAAACAGGTGAAGATCAGTGTTTGAGCCACAGACCTGCCTTGGAAAACACATTGCTTTATGACATGTTTCCTAGCTAACATTAACACTTTGGTACACTGATGTCACATTTAGGACATTAAGTTACGATGGCCTTGCCTCTTGCCCTGCAAATACATACATGTACATCAAATACAAAAATTACCGAAAACCAAAACATTTGACTAACAGCAAAAAGCAGCTGCTGTTAGGAATCCAGTTTGTGTGGGTTGTGCTTTTGTTTGTTGTCCCTCCACCACCAGGTGGCGCCTGGTTCTCGTCGGCCTTCTCACACACCTGCGATTGGTTGCCTCATTGCCGGAGGACTCTTAAGCTGCTGACTGTCACTACCTCGACGCCAGAGTGTTTGCCAGTTTTGGTTCTCTAGCCAAGCTGAGTTTTGCTGAGTCAAACTGAGTTTTTGTCATCTGAGTCTTAACCTTGTTGTTTCTTTTTGTCTTTGCCTCTCGGCAGGAAGTCATCCTGCAAACTGGATGTTTTGGACCTTCTCCCCCCTGGAAGGATTCTCTGAGCATCAAACTGAGCTGAGGATTCAAACTGGTGGTTTGGATCTACTTTTCCCCAAGAATTGTTTGGGCATCTCTCTGAGCAGGGGATTCATCTCCACAAGAAACCGTTCAAGTACCGCCGGAAAACTAAGTGACAGGTCAGCTCCTCCATTCCTCAAGGAAAAACCGCAATCTGGGAAAACCCTGTCCGCCCTCTAATGAACAAGTCATTCACTGGAACAACCCACACCGACTGGATTCAACAAGAGACACCTTTTTCTGGAAACGTGAGTCCTGTTGCCTTTATTCCCTTCTTCAAATCGAAGACACAAATTTCCCACTGAGCCTGAACTAACAGCAGAATCTTCCCCTTCATTTTTCAGTCCCGGTTTGACAGTGTTCAGAGCAGCACTGGACTCCTCTCTACCAACTCACAATAAAACCTGTTAAACTTTTCCCTGGTCTCTCTGTTTGGTCTTCTCCGTGTGGGTCAGAGCTTTAGATAAAATCATGACAGCTGCCTGGAAAAAATCCTGCATACTAGCTTTGCAGAACAGAGAGACCACAGGGGGGATTTATCAACACATGGCACGAAACCATGTAAGTTAGCGAACATACAACTTTCCACTATGGAGCGCCACTTTCAGCTCTCCTTAACTTGCAGTTTTTTGTTACTTCGCCATTTATTCTTTTCATGTGTTTTGTGTGTTAGCATCATTTGTTCCCCATTTATATCCGTTTGAAGCCTTTCTTCTTTGCTTGATTGTTAGTCTTAGTCTGTTTTATTGTCTATATTGGCAGCACATTTCCTATTTATTGGGTATTTGCACATTTAGTGCTTTTCATTCTCATCCACCACATAAAGGAGATTGCTGATTTATTCTGAACTGATTTGCATGGATTCCACTTCATAAGGAAGTTTCTCTCTAAGAGAGAAGCCCGGGCCTTGGCCACTAAAAGGGACTGAAGTTAAAAGTTTCAGAATAGTTGGACATGTTTTGCTGTCAGTGAAAGATTATAAATTTATCTCCCAGACAGTGTAAAGAGATTTTACTCCAGTTGTTATTCTCAGAGTGCATCTTCAACAGCATCTAAAAATCTACCTTTTGTCTAATTATGTAAATTTCTTTTGTTCATTTTTTCTTAATTAATGTAAATGCTTGTTTTAGTCAAAGTGCGGCATTCAGTTCTTTAGGGAAAATTAAATGTATTATTTTTATTTTATTCTTTCCAATCTGTTCTATTTGCAAACTACATGAGAAAACTGATGGAAATGTGTGAAATCTGCCACCTTTGCAGCATCGAATCACATTCTCGTTTTAGAGCATTGTTCCTTTCTGAAAGAAAATGGCTTTCAGTTCGAAATGGCAACATAATCATACTTATAGAAGCTGGTTTGGCATTTTTCACATTTTAATCCACCCTCCTCATTCAAATGAGCTCAAATAGATTTTTTCTTAAGACATTGAGTGGGAGAAAACATGTTTAATCTTTTCTAAGTGAAACATTGTTTATTACTTTACTTAGGCCAACAATTTTATATTGGTTACAGTATGGGGACGACATACCAACTTTGGGAAACCAAAGACCACTGCTGAAGGTGGCTACCAAAGGCTGATAAAACCCAGCTGATCACTTCCAAATGTCTTCCAACACACATCAGGACATGACAGCCTATTACTGATAACTGATCAATACAGTTTTAAGGGGCAGAAGAACAAAAGGAGAGCAAAGCAGGAGCAGAAGTCTGGCAGCAGAACGGCTGCCATATGTGGCCTCAGTATGACGTGGTTGTTCAGTGTGCCTGAAGAATCAAGCTTTCAGTTCAGGACTCTGCCAAACACAACGATTGGATATAATGAGAGACCCCCCCTTAAGATTTTGTATATCATCTCTTAGAAAACACCAGAGGGATGTTTAATTATCTTGCAGATTCTCTTCCCTGTGAAATACACGCTAAAACAAAGCAGTCAGTTTCTTTACTTCAAGATAATAAGGCAAATTTATTTTATTCTGATAAACCTAAAAAAAAGAAACCTACAAAAATATAAAGAAAGTTTTTAATTTGGTGGAAAGCAGGAAAGGCTAAAGATTAGATATGATGAATATTAGTCAGTCTCAAACTTCTGTTTCATTTCACCACTAACTGGAACTGATTACTAAGTTTTGGCTAAGGATTCAAAAAGGTCCTTCCACTACTTTCGAAGGCTGTCCACTTCGCCTAACGTGGACAGCGTCAATTGTAACGGGCTAGCAACCTGACAATTGACACACAAAGCAGGCAATAGTTACCAACTTCTCTCTGTTGTTCTGGGAAATAAGTTCCCAGAACAACAGAGGTCAATAGAGGCCAATTTTTGGACCAATAACCAGAGATGGCAAAAGTACTCACTTTCTGTACTCGAGTAAAAGTAGATACTTGTGTTAAAAAATACTCTGGTAAAAGTGGAAGTACTGATTAAACTTCTTTACTCAAGTAAAAGTAACAAAGTACAGGCTTGTAAATTTACTTAAAGTATAAAAGTAAAAGTAGAAACCACTTTTTTCATGCCGTTGCCTACATTTTAAATGGATGTCTGCCAATAGGACTAGATCTCCGTTGTGTTCATTTTCAATCATCTCGTCGTCCATGCTACTATGCTAACGCCACCGCCACCAAGCTGCAATGATTTGCCGCCAATGAATACCACCGAATCTGTTGATTCATCTTGTAGCGGTGCGTCAAATGCAACGTAGATTCCCATCCAATTAGATTGAATTTGGTATTGATGACGTGAAAAATAATAACGGTAACTCCATTGAAATGATTCAAAACTAAAGTAACGAGCCAAATTTTTCAAATGTAAGGAGTAGAAAGTACAGATATTTGTGTAAAAATATAAGGAGTAGAAGTAAAAAGTCGCCATAAAAATAAGTAGTAAAGTAAAGTAAAAATATCAGAAAAATCTACTTAAGTACAGTAAGGAAGTATTTGTACTTTGTTACTTCCCATCTCTGCCAATAACCTAGCCATAGTTAAATATTGATTGGCAACTGTGCCTTGAACAGTGTTAAGTCTTTCTACAGGGTTTGTGGACGGGTTGTGTATAAGATATACATGATCAGTCTTGAGAGGAAAAATCTGGAAACCTGTCAGTTGAAGAAAAGGTGTTGAAAAAAGTCTGCAGGGATTTTTATTGGAAAGGTCTGAGCCTCTAGTTTCCAATTAGGGGATGTGGCTAGAAATGAATACCTGCTGTTGCATTACTCCCGCAGAAGTTGGGTGGCATTTTAAATCTCATTAAATCTTTATAAAACAAAAGATATTTTTGAAAAAAATAATTTTGAAGCATGTTTTAGAAGACTTAAAGCCCCCTTTGAAAGGCATGTGGATGAAAAACCATGTGACTGTGTTTGGGCCGTTTCTATAAATAGATCAACATGAGCAGGTGTCAGTTGGGCCCTGTACCGAGCCTGCGGGGCTTAAGGGGTTAAGTCTCTGCACTCTGCTGCCAGTGGCCTTCAGGGCTGCCAAACCTCAAAGTTACAGGTCTAGCGCCTCTAGTGGCTATAAATTACACAAGCATTTGATTCCCCTCAAGTTTGAATAAAATACGGTTACATATCAGTTTATGTGGGTCAGTGGTGTCAAAAGTACCCACATTTGTTACTTAAGTCGAAGTATAGATACTGTAGTATAAAAACACTCTGGTAAAAGTTGAAGTATCAAGTTGACCTCTTTACTCAAGTAAAAGTGAAAAAGTATGTGCTCCAAAAACTACTTAAAGTATAAAAGTATAAAGTAACCTTTAAGAAAAACGCCAGATGCCAATATATGAATTGAAAGCTCAATTTTTCGACTATTTCAAAAAATTCTTTGAGCCAGGGCCAAGGATGAGGGAGGTCTTGTTGGTCTCCGACTCCATATCTAGATACGCTCTTGCCTGTGTCCGACCTTTCAGACATTTAGACATCTTTTTCTGAATCCGACATTGTAGCATGGCATAGCGATTCACGTTAGCAGTTTGAAGAACACCTGCTTGCTTCTGATGATTTCCTTTAGCTAACCAATGAGCATTATATGACTCATCCATGGCATGAAATATATATTTATAAACATTAAACCAGGGGTAACTAATAAAAAATCAGTGGGGTCTGAATAAAGAAAATCAACCAGTAAATGTCCGGAGACATTTTTAATGATCTGTTACCTTAAACAGAATTTAACACTGAAATAAAATGACGTATTTATGCATTCATGTTATTTATTGAATAAAAAAAAAAAGATAAAAAAAATAAACATAGAAATTGCCAAATAGTGCATCCTGTTCTATCTGAGAGGAGTTTACACTTGTATGACTGTATTCCTGTATATCCATCAGTAGTTAAAGGACAAATGTCAGCAAATGCAAACTCTGCCTGTAAAACAATGACAGCGCAATTGTCGCTGTACGATCTGAAGCCTCATTTGGAGCTTTTAAACTGGCTTTTGCAAAACTTTGATAATTTGCTGCTGTAATATTATAGATTTTTTAGAATAAAAAGCTAGCAGATGTGCATAATCAAAAAATAACAGAAATAGAGTTATAGAGCATTCAGTATTATAAGAAAGCCCACACTGTTTCTGAATAAATACATTATTGTATGAGTTAAGTTCCGTTAATGTCTCTTTCCTTGTAAGTATGAAATGTCCCATGCTCTTGAATGCACCATAGCTGTCTGACGCTCGTGAATGCATCACACTGGTCTGTGTAGATGCGCGTTTGATTTTCAGCTGAAGACAAAGCTTTGCAGTTTTAAAACCCACGTCGGATAATCACTGTTTATTGTTGTGTGTGAATAACAAGAGACTACAACAAATAAATCAGCTTTACCTCGGACACAATCTTTGGATTTAATGTTGTTCATAACATCGCAGTCCGCTAATCCGTGACCTGTGCTTTAAACCGAAGCCAAGAGTAACGAGTAACGTTTGTTTTAAAAATGTAAGGAATAGAAAGTAAAGATACTTGTGTGAAAATGTAATGAGTAGAAGTCAAAAGTAGGAGGAAAAATAAGTAATGGAGTAAAGTACTGATAACTAAAAAGTGTACTTAAGTACAGTAACGAAGTATTTGTACTTCGTTACTTGACACCTCTGATGTGGGTAAATATTGTTCCACTCTTTGGTTTGCTGGTGAAGATTCTGAGTCATCCAGGTCAGAGTCATTCAAAAAGAGTAAAAAAAAAAAAAAAAAACATCCAACAAAGTCCAGTGGATTATTATTTTAACTTTTTTGGAATACTCTTTGGTTTGTTGCTTTCATTAAAAAAATTTCTGTGGCTGCCAGAAAACAATGCACTGCAGCTTTTCATTGTGTTTAGGCACATCTTATGGACGAGGCCCCGGATGAGAGTAAAGCATGAATTAAATGTAATATTAAATATCTGGAAGAAAAGCAAAGCAAAAATAATTAAACTTTAGAAAATCTTTCTCACCAACTTAGCCCTAAACAACAAAACCATAAGATTTGAGGATCAGAGGAGGTTTGAAGTCACGCTAATAGTCAGAGGGTCTCTGCTTTTGTCTTTGCTTTGATGTAAATTAGGATCTACATTTACAGGGATTTTTGTTTTTAATCTTTGCTTCTGTTTCCAAGCGCAGCACATTAAACTTATATTTGCTTTGAGTCTATTTCAGAAAGCTACTCAGGGTAAGAAAAAAAGTGATATCATAAAAAAAGGAAAGTTCAAAGTTTCCACTTACTACAATATTAAATCTGAATTGAATAAACTAAGACCGGAGGACGCCGGATTACTATAACATTACTTTCACCAGCTTCTGATGTCTCTTTACAGTAAGTTTTCACTTCAGCTTCCTAATCTTTGAATTTGGGTGATGGTCTCATGACCAATGTGCCTTCCATATTCACCATGCTGTTAGGGCCCCTCGCACACCTTGCTGATTTAGCCAGCCAGCGTCTGCCTGACGTCCCAGAATCTCCTAAAACGCTGGCATATGATTAACTTTCTATGTATTCTTTTATTTTGGGCATATACCTACATAGAGTATTAATAGAGTCCAGAACTTATTTCCAGCAACCACCTAACCTATGCGTAACACACGGCAGCGTAATGCCCTGCCTGCATAAAATTATGTCTTTAATGGTGGTATTAACCTAGCTCCTGTTTACAACCCGGTAAAGAAAGAAGATATAATTTACGTCATTATACAGTAGCTGCAAGTTAGAAACACATTCAGCGCTCGTCTGGAACACGTCAGATAAGTTGATATGTGTTGGAGAGTTCTTGATAAGTTAAGCAGAAGTTATGCACAGTGTTGTGCCTGAACGCGTTCATTGAACGAAAGTTCATGAACTCGTTCATATTTTGGGCGAACGTGAACTGAACGTACTGCATTACTGCCTGATGAACGTTATTGTGAACTCGTTCATTCTGGTGTCTGTGAACGGCACGCTCTCTCAGTTCAGCTCCGTTCAATAGGTTGCCAGATTTCTATAGAGCCCTCCAGGCGAAACCCCTCTAAATCACACCGTAAACAGGCCTTAATATGTAGCGGGAAAAACACCCAATCTGGCAACACCAGCTACCAGCGTCGTAGCCTACAGCCGCGTGCGTCATCTAAACAAAATGCAGCGTGGAAGCCACAGCAGCATGGAGGCGACCGTGGAGGCGACAAAGCAGCAGTATGATCACTTAAAACAGTTTTATGACCAGGTGGTCGTTGAGGATGATGGCAACAATCTTACATTTCTCTGCAAACTTTGCCCGCCGGCTTTCAGTAAAAAAATCCGCACTTCAGTAACCTTAAATTCCTACCTCAGCCTGGTCCCTCAGTTTGTCTTAGTAAAATGTTCTTGAGGGTTTTACTATTCATGTAAACCTGCCTGGTATAATTTTCCAGGATTCCTTTTTAGTATGTACTGAAATGGAATTTCAAATTGAAAAAATTATTAGAATTAAAAAAACATTTGCACCTTAAAGACTACTTTCCTGTTTTTCTTTTAATAATTCCTCATAAAAAAGACCATTCAAGCAGCACATTTTTCCTGATGTTTTTGAGAATATACTGTAGGGGTGAAAGCTGCAGCTGCTACTAGTGTGAAGTGAATGGACAGCAACAAAGCGTTAAAGCAACAATGGGGAAATGCTGTCCCCTCAATGCTAATGTAAACCCTGGTTGGATAAGGATTCAAAACTGGATAGGAAGATGAAATCTGACGCACAGTTTCAGAGTTACAACTGATAAAATAATTGCTGTCTGTGGTTCTACAGTAGGCTATGGTGGAATTGAGCAATATATGAAAAAAAAAAGAACTATGAACTAGTTCGTTTTTTGGAACTGTGAACTTAGTTAAAAATTTTGAATTATGAACTATGAACTGAACTAGTTCATTTTAAAATGTGTGAACTGAACTTTGAACTAGTTCACGTAGAAAGAGAACTTTCCCAACACTGGTTATGCACAAGTTACTCAGAGGTTTAGGATAAACTAGACGCCACGACTGATGAGGAACTGAGACTGAACGGATGTCAACCATCAGATAACTGACCTGGAACTGATGGCCCACATATGGCATATGATGGCATGTGTTGGGAAATTTTCAGCATGCTCAATATTTATTGATCTACTTGCCGTATATCAAAGTGTTTCAGCATAACTCAGCCTGCTCATAACTTATAGAACGTATGCCAGCTACGATATGCCATTTTGCCAGATTGTCCATACATCAGGCATACAGTGGTCTAAATCGTCAAGGTGTGACAGAGCCTTTAGTTGCTATTGTTAATTCTATATTGTATGGAAAGATTTTATATTTCCTCCTCTTTTACTTCTCAGATAATTCATTTTTTTCCCTTTAGCAATAAATAATTTTCATTTTCCTATTTTTGGTTTTACACATTTTAATCAATAAACATATTTTCTTAATTTCTATTGCTTCTATTAATTGTCATGTTGGTCCTTCTTCATCATCCTCTTCCTATCTGTGAATTTATAAAGCTGCCACTGCTTCCCTGACAGCTGTGTTTTCTCTAGTTACATTCACAGTATAACTATTTATTTGTTTGTTTGTGGTCTCACTGGGTACAGTACGCTAGTTTTAGTGTTTGTTGTAATCGGTTTTTCAGGCTTGTTTGTTTGCAACCTTGACTTCTTCCTTAAGATGGACGTGATATTTTCAATTGTTGCACACTGTGCGGCCCAGCGCTCTGATGTGATCTACCTGCTCGCACTGTACGTCTAAAAACCAGGTGGGACTCAGCTCCGCAGTGAGATGGAGCTACTCGGACTATCCGGAAGCCAAACGAGTAGAAGAGGAATATGAAGCTAACTAGACTGAAACGCGCTGCCTTGGCAATTTGTTCAATTTTGTGCTCAAAGCCCTAGTTAAGAATTTGGGAGGAAAAAAAATCAGGATATTGACTTTTTCCCATATTAAACTTAAATAAACAAAAATATCAGTTAACTTTTTGCATTTTTTCCAGCGGCCCAATCCTCCTAATATCAAATTATTACAAAAATGTTTTCTAAAGTACAAATTATTTATATAATTTTGACTGTTTGAAGGTTTGTGTCCATTCATATCTATGTGGAGATACACTGTTATAGAAATGTCAGGGTTTGTCATTTAAACCCTTTCTGAGCTGAAAACATATAGAAAATAAAGAAATAAATATTAAAGAACAGCAGCTTGTTATTTGTTGGGCATGCATTCAATCTGTATTTTGAAGGTGAAAAAAGTTATAAAAAGCAACTGCATCTCTGCCTGGTTCTGTACTCACCAGTGTGGTGAAGATGTAGTGATAATACTCCGTCATCATTCCCATCGCTAGAGCCTAGAACAAAGAGTGACAAAAGGAGAGCACATGAAGCGGAACATTTCTCCATATTTTTGCACACATGAGCACACACACTTACTGGTTTGGTTGTTTGCCTGATCCAATAGCTGTATAACCATGTAATGCGAGAAGGCATATATTTCAGCCCTGCAGCAGCTATAGGCTTAAAGATAAGAGGCAAACACCCACCAAGAAGACAAACAGCCAAAGAAAGAAAAAGACTCAGTGAAGGCAAAAATAAATTTGGCATATATGAGATCATACGGCATGGAGGATTACACTTGATGCCATAGATATAGAGCATCTGGATCATGGGTAAGCAGTAGAGCCCACCCCCACAGCAGCTCTACAACAAGACAGAGTGATTGCCTCAGAATGGTAACTTATTTTTTATTCTCCCGAATTGATTGTATGAAGTTATATGGAATATATCAATCCCAGTAAATCTGCACGGAAACTTAACTGGAGTAGAAGAATCTACCCTTACCCATCTAAAGGAGAGGAGAAAACGCCACTGAACGTGCCAAGAACTTACAATTTCTCTATCTTTAACTGCTTAGATAAGTACATCAGTCTAAAGCCTCTTTCCCACTGAAAATAGCAGGTTAACACATGTTTTTCAATCAAAGGTCGACCCGATAGTCATCATTACTACCCCCGGCTCACACCGACTCCGGTCTTACCGTTGCGGTGCGGTGGGTGCGGCGCCGCAGTGATTCCAAGTCATTAAAAAGACATAAACCTCTCTCACCGGCTGCTGAGCTGTCCGGCTGCGGTTACCGAGACACTCCGGCGCTGCAGAAAATTCCGCAAGAAAGCTATCCTTGCGGCGTGCCGGAGCCCTCCGCAACAAGCTCTCGCAAATATCCTTAGTTGGGCCGTGTTATCGCGTGAAGTTACATGAAGTTACGTGAACTCAAGTGAACCTCTGTTCTCGCGAGTTAAATCTCCGGACCTGTTGCCGGAGCCGCACCGCACCGCAGTCAAAAGGGCGGTGTGAGAGGGGGTGTGCGGGAGCTGCGGTCTCCGTCGGCTCGGTAACCGCACCGGAGCCAGTGTGAGCAAGGGGTTAGGCTCCCTTCCCACTGGCAATAAAAGTTGGTATAACCCTGCGATGGCAGCTGTGTGGCCTTTGTCCCCCTCGGCTGCGTGTCTGATGACATCATCACGCTGGCTTCACGTTGATTATGTCACAAGTGTGACAGAACTCAGGAAAGTTAACAATGGAGAGCAACATGAAAGAAAGCGAGGGTGTAGTCAGTTGCTTTATTGTTTCTCCCTATTATCTGTCTGAATTCCTCTCAGCAGAGCTGCTCCATGTTTACCCAATGGAAACAGAGTTGATTCTGCTTATTAGATCAGAAGCGAATGGCGCGGTGTGTTGATGTCCGTACTTTGCTTTCAAAGGTACCCCATAATTTAGCGGGGCATGCAGATCAGAACCGGGTCGCTTTCCGAGTCGTTTGACCTGGGTAGACTCGCGTCAGCTGGCTGTTCCCACTGCCACTGAAAGCCCATTGTTCCTGGATTTAAACAGGTTTTTCGGCCAGGGGGGAATGGATACAGCTTCCAGATTGCTTCATGGCCCCCATGTAAAAAGCAAGAAGCATGTTTCTAAAGTATTAGGGCATAAAAGACTTTTAGTAACGGTGCAAATACAGCCGATTTTTAAAGATTCTTTAAAACCCATGGAAGCATGAAAAAAGATGCTCTTTTAACGGGCTTTGGGTTTATCATGTCAAACAGTCCAGGTTTATAAAACCATGCAGACGTTCACCATCCTGAAGCTGTCCTTCATAGATCACAGCAGCAGCTCAACATTCAATCACTTGGTTCTGCCTCATGTTCTGCCCACTACCCCTTCACTTTTAACGAGGAATGGTCAACACCAGGACTTGGTGAATGTAAATTAGTATTTAAATGAGCCAGCTCATCAATGCCATCTCATTGTTAACAATGGCAGCCATGGAGAATAGAGGCTTTTCTGTGCCTTTGTACAGTGAGGCGGAATCTGATGTTTTAGTGAGCAGGTAGATCATGTCTGGTTGTAACAGTGGTGTGAAAAACAGAAAGGAAGAGCTGTGAGTGGCAGCAGGTCGACAATCTGATACATCGACTGGTTTGAATTAAACATACCATCCAGGACAGCAGGAGGTAATTCGCTTTGATATCTCCAACCTACAGATTCGTTCGCAGAATGATGTCGATCCTAAACATGGCTGCAGGCACAGAGTTAATTAATTGTTGATTATTTTAAGCACATACCTGCAGGCTACTTCAAGAACCCTTATGAAGATTCCCAACTGTAATTAAACAGGACGGGGGGCACGTTGTCCCCTATTACTGGACCCAGTACAAAGATCAAATAGCAATGCTTTAGGGCACCATTCCTCACTTCTGTTCCTTGATCTCTATTAGATGGGAATCTTTTTCCACACCTGAATCAAGGGGCTGAAACACCTCCTGAAAAGGTTCTTAGACTCGTGCTAATGACCTGGTTATTTGATTTGGGCGTTTTGAAGCAGAGCCACATCTAAAGGGTGGCAGGACAGAGAACCTCAAGGAGCCAAAATCAAGGACCTCACTCCTGGGAGTCTAACATATCAATCAATAAATCAATCAATTAATGTCTTTATTGTCAACTAATATTTACATTGTAATTTTCAGTTTCACTGCCTTTATCTCTGTGATAAGCAGTGATGGGACTAACGGCGTTGAAAGTAACGGCGTTACTAACGCCGTTACCTTGTTTTAGTAACGAGTAATCTAACTAATTACTTTTACTGTAACTATAACGCAGTTACCATTGCAGACACCCCGTTACTGCGCGTTACTCAGGTCGCACAATGAACCTTTTATCATGATAGGACTCGTGCGCAGCTGCGTGAAGCTGACACCCCACCCACGTCAAAAAACTCTGCAAATAGACTGAATGGTTAGTGCAACGTTAGTGCAGATTTGTGCAGAAAAAAATATTGTTTGTGCTACTTTTGTTTAAGAGCTATTAAAGATTTTTTTTTTAGGTCATCCAGAGGTGAGCGCCTTGTCATGAGAGAGGGGAGGATGAGAATGGCTGATGAATAGTGAGATTCCGTCTGTCAGTTGGGTAGGTGGGTGTTTCTGCTGGCGGGTGTTAACGTACAGCACACACAGAGAGATGGAGAGTGAGGATGACTCCAGCAGCAAAACAGCGTTTTCCACATGGAAATACCGGTTACGTCAAGCTGCGTTTCACCATCACATACGGTTTCCTCTGCATCTCCGCACAGCGCAGGCGGCATGAGTCACCGCGCAAGGACAGAAAACGCGCATGCTCGCTAAAGGCGTGCAACAGTCGCCCTGTGCTCGCGCCACAGGAGAACTATGGAGAGCGTGAACGATCAAATGATTAACCTGACAACAGCCAGAAATGATAGCCTGTATGGAGAAAGGGAGAAATCTGGATGGATGGATGGATGGATGGATGGATGGATGGATGGATGGATGGATAGATGGATGGATGGATGGATGGATGGATGGATGGATGGATGGATGGATGGATGGATGGATGGATATTCTGCCTTCTCAACCTACTGTATTTTTTATTTTAAACATTATTTGATGGCCTTTGTGGCAGGGATGGAGATCCATATTTTATGTCACACACAGAGTATACATCTAGATAGATAGATGGATAGATAGATGTTGCAGTATCTATAACAACCCAAACACACAGGATTTCAGAATTAGACACCCCCAGTTATTAATTTCACCAGATCTGAATGTCCTGTTAAAAAACTTCCCATGGCGTTCCCCCCTGATGTCATTTACGTTGAGTTGCAATAAGTGCTAAACTGTCTGCAGGTTCTTGTCTTTGTCGTCCGCTCTATTCAGCTGGCTTTGGAAACACACGGCGAGAAGGTGGGGGCCGGGTGGTGAGGGTTACGGGGGCGAGAAACGCAAAAGTAACGCAATAGTTACTTTTACTAGTAACTAGTTACTTTTATTGTGGAGTAACTCAGTTAGTAACTCAGTTACTTTCTGGGAGAAGTAACTAGTAACTATAACTAATTACTTTTTCAAAGTAAGGTGCCCAACACTGGTGATAAGACAGGAGCCACAATGGGGAAGAATTGGCGGAAAACGTATTTTACATATTTCAGGATACAGTTTGAGACATCAAAAAAACACCTCAGCACAAAAAAGCACATGTAACACGAGATAAACATTTCAGCAGAAGGAAAACATAGGAGGCTGGAGCCGCATGAAAGTCCATCTGACATTTAAGCATCAGTTGTCTGTGTATGAATGAGTGCGTTCAATTTGTCCATGAACGCTGTCCACAGGCCATTGTCCTTAATTAAATGAAAGTTTATCAACTGGCGCTACAGTTCTGGACACATCCACCAGGAGTCCCCTCCTCCTTGAAGAAGGGGAGCCGGCAGTTCTGGGCCCTTCCGCCATAGCATCCAGGGGAGTTCTGATAAGGGGGAGGCCGAATCCAAAATAACACTTTTTGTTTTGAGAGCAGGCTGCACAGAATTTACCATCAGCCTTGGAGCCTTCTCTTGATGGACTCCACATGGTGAATCCAATATTCTGAATTTGTTGGGCTTTTCTGCATTGAAGCAAGCGTGCACATCCAAGATATTATCCCATTTCCCCTTTGAGTTCAACCACCACAGCCTGCCTGCGTACAATTGCACCCAGCATACGGCTGAGCTCCAGGTCTTGCTCATTCACAGCCTTCGTGTCAACTGCTGCCGGCAGCCTGATCAATGCCCAAATTGCCACAGACATCATCTGTAATTGTAGATACATCAGGTGTCCTCCAAATCCAAACAGGAGAAATCAGAGTATCATAAATCCAAAAATCCATGCATCTTCTATATCTTCCACTGAGAACATTGTAAAACACACCATCCATACCTTCCATGAGTCAAAGGTGTATCACACCAAGTATGTCCCAGTAAGACAGGAAGGGTCCTCTTTTCCATGTCGTCCAGTTGAGAAAATTC